AGGCGGGAGGAGTGGTGTAGTTTTTGTAATCACCCGGTTCTTAGTTTCCTACCTTGGGTAAAGCTTATGAATTCCTGTGAAGCTGCGAATCCTCTATAGGAGGCGCTCTTGGATTGTTCGCCTAAAGTTGCAGGCGTTGTGGAATATGCTTCGCCGAGCTGCTTTTCATTTCATTTCATAGCTACAACAGAGGTAAACAAAAATAGGAGCCGAACGCTTAACCCACAATGGGAGTTAGTCTACCTACCACAAACCCTTAGGCATTTAGGGCTTCTGTCCGTGGAAAAGGAAAAGGAAAAAGGCCTCAAATTAGTAGTCAACTGAAGGATAGCAGTCAGTTAAAGGATCTCGGGGCAGTTCCCATGACGTTTCTCACGCTCGAAAAGAGAACCAGACAGTGGCAACCGCAAGCTAATGAATGTCTTGATTTTAACAGCACACTTTCAGGCATCGCTAAGCATTCATGTGGCAATGCAATTTCCATCGGTGGACGGTAAAGGACTCATAGTACTGACTTCACTGGGAACTATTGTTTCTGTAGCTCCTCAGTTGGCACTCCCGCTCTCAGTGCTGCTCTGTTCAAAGGAAGCGCGAGATGCCACATCGCATGTCTGTTGGTCGTCAGTCAAAAGTGGAATAACTAGTTTGTTTGCTAAACGTAGAATTAGCTCAGCATCTTCTGTAAGAACGCTTCATGTTGATCTATCTGCCACAACACCGAGTTGAATTAGTTCTTATTGTAACGGAGTTTCTTTGTTGTTGCATGAATGGATCATATGCATCTTCAATAGTTTGTAATTGTGTGTAATTTGAATTCATCAGGATCCTCTCAAACTAGCAAACACTTGAAAGAAAACTAATTGTTACATCTCTATGACATCTCGGTGACTTGTAGTTTACTGTAACAGTTGTGTGAGCAATGAGTGCATCTCAGTCTCCGAATTAACCCCAAACGTTTGTCGTCATTTTCCGCACAAGTATTGTTTGAAGCTGATTTACTATCCTCCCCATAGTACTTATTATTCACATTCCTTCATAGGGCAATTGTTTTCAGAAAGGAACCAGAAAGGCCAAGTAAACATAAGGTCATCTCACTCAAGAACGTTTCATTCCAAATAAAACGAATAGGGAAACAGCTGAGAAAGCAGTAATTTGGTTTCAAGTTGAATAGACTCCACCTCCAATGACCCGGTTCCAATGCACGGAAGGCGTTTGGACCTATAACACCTTCGTTTTCACAACAAGTGTGAATAAACTGGTGTTGATGCCAGTTTCGATGACCAAAACGTTATCGTAGTGAACCAAAACGTTATCGTAGCGCGCTCCGCTGACAGTGCCTTCAGTTGAGCAGAACAGTTGCACCGCGCTCGAGCAAATAAGACTGAACACAGGTCTCAGTGTTCTTTCTTCAGGAAACTACCCAGTGAGGAAATAACTCCTAAGATTGTGAGCAATGATAGCCTTCCTGTAGCTGGGTGATACTGTCCGTCGGTCTGGTTGGTAGTGGCTTACAAGATTATAAGTTCAGGAAGTTCAGGGTGCATACAGTACCCCTGAAAATGGCGCGAGACTCAAATTGTTCGCGCCGTAAACGCGCACAATCGGTCATACCGTAAGGCGGTAAAAGCACGCCGCGGGCACCAGGTATGTGCTCACATGCGCGGCACGTACATACTCCACGTGCTCGACACATACTCGCGATGCAATCTCATGGCGAACACAGTTGTATGCGTTCACGGTCCGATACATTTAATTTCACGCGCAATTTCAGGTGGTACTGTATGCCCCCTGACTTCCTGAACCTATTATCTTATGTGGCTACAAGCTTGGCTGACGCGCACTACTGCGCGTATGGTTGAACCTATGGTAATGGTACTGCGCTGACAGGATTCCTGTATTGACCCTGCCACCCACCAATAATGTTCCCATCCTGCCCCCTATCTAACTTCTTGGAACCCACATCCCGTCGTCGCTGTGGTCCGCGCTATGGAGCTGGTGACCCTTCCTTTTTAAGGCCCCTTGTGGTATCTTATCAGCTGTTATCACTTCCTGTCACCCACCAATAATGTTCCCATCCTGCCCCCTATCTAACTTCTTGAAACCAACGTCCCATCGCTGCTGTGGCCGGTGTTATGAATTAGGTAACTCACTCTTTTAGGCTCCTTATGGTATCTTATCAGCTGTTATCACTTCCTGCCACCCACCAATAATGTTCCCTACCTTACTTCTTGGAACCAACGCTCTAGTCTTGCTGTGACGCGCGTTATGAATTTGCTGACTTCGCCTTTATACGGCCCCTTATGGTATCTTATCAACTGCTATCGCTTCCTGCCACCCACCAATAATGTTCCTGCCCGACCTCCTACATCATCTTATCAGTTTGAGCGCATTATCGCTGTTTTGAAGGAAGTTATGAATTTCCGGTCAAACACACACACACAGACACACACACACACACACACACACACACACACACACACACACACACACACACACACACACACACACACACACACACACACACACACACACACACACACACACACACCAACAGACAAACTTAGCGGATTATATATAGTAGGATTCTTTTTTTTTTTTGGCAGCTAAAGTACCGTAACCCACAGATACTGTGGAATGATGATCATCCATTTGGATCCGAAGTGGCTCCTGGCGTTCATTGCTGCTGCAGGAATAGAATGGTTCCGGCTTGCACTTTGTCAGGAAATGGGGCCCCAAACACCCCCCCCCCCTGAAATTTACCATGTTTCAGGATTGCATGCTGACCCATACTATTGTGCATAGTCTTCCTACTTTCGGTTTTATCTACAGAGTCGCAGATAAGAGTGATTTGGCCGCCAGAAGACGGATCACATCCTTTCCTCGTGGACGTCAATGCCGTGAAGGTCCTGATGAGAAGTTTTTAACGAAATGGGAGATATCGTAACTGTTCATAACTTACTTGTAAGACCAGATAGTAAGTTTGCTTCCCATATTTCTAAACAGCGTTCCAGACACTACGAAGGCGTTCATTCAAAGTCCCATAAACTGACGAACTTTACTTGAAAGCACCACCCTAGTTGAAATTCGGGCCAAATTTCGACTGCAATAGCTGACAAGTAGTGCTTGAGTTTATGACGCGCCCAAGGCGTTCTTGCGTATGTGATATGTGCTTACAGAGGTCAAAATCTTCTCGGAAAAGGATTCGGGTAGGATCTACCTTTGGGTAAAAGTTTCGATCAATCTACACAAGTTCGGTTAGGGATGGAGGGGGGGGGACAGCAGATCCTGGACAGAACCCAACTTTTTCTACAAAACTTGGAGTACTAGTAACTTTATAACTTCTGTATCCTGGACAGAACCCAACTTTTTCTACAAAACTTGGAGTACTAGTAACCTTTATAACTTCTGTAATAAAAGTTGCTCCAGTTTGGCAAAAATGGCGCAAAAGCATCGCGATACACGTTCATACTTTACAACTTAGGGCAAATTGGGACGTTCCCAAGGACGACGAAATGTTTCCCCAGAAAAATTCCACCGTTATATGCAATACTGCTCCGTAACTCTAAGGAAGAACCGAGAGCCTGCTTATTTCATAACATAATAACCGGCCAGGTCTCACAGCTACGAACGTCATCAATTCCACAGCCACTCATTTCGAGCCAAACACCTGCACGATTAACACATAATTGCTTGTTTCAGGGGCGAAAAACAATATTATCCTAATTTATATAATCCGCTATGTCCGTGTGTGTGCGTCTGTCTGTTTGTCACGAAATTCATAGCGCCGGTCCCAGTAGCAGTGAGACATTGGTTCCAAGAAGTGATGTAGGGGGTGTGACGGGAACACTATTGGTGGGTGACAGGAAGTGATATCAGTTGATAAGATCCGATAAGAGGCGTTAGAAGGCGGAGGTCACCATATTCATAACGCGGGTGACAGCATCAGCTAGCTCTTGATTCCAAGATATGATATAGGGTATGGGCCAAGAACATTATTGGTGGGTGACAAGAACTGTAAGCTGCTGATAAGATTCGATAAGGGGCTCCAGAAGGGAAGGTCACCATATTCATAACGCGGGTGACAGCATCAGCGAGGCGTTCATTTCAGCAAGTGATATAGAGGGTGAGATGGGGACATGAATCGTGGGTGACTGGAAGCGATAACTACTGATAGAGACTGATAAGTGAAGTTGCAGTCGTCGTCGCTGTTCAAGGTGGTTCACGCTACCAAATCATAGAGATTTGGTGATGAGGACATTGATGACGGGTGACAGGTAATCTTATCAATCGATAAAAACAGATAAGATACCATCTGCGCTACATTTTTATCACTTCTTACCGCTTTAATGCCGAGTATTAGAGGCTCAGTGTGTGAACTCTTTCCTTTGATGGCAACAGAGTCTCGTCCATTGAAGCGTTTGCCACTTTTTTGCAATACTTTCAACATTCAACACTATTTTGCAATGTTTGGATGCATTGTGCTTGTTAACTCCTATTTTATAGGAGTATTTTCATGGGATTACCTCTCTTGGGTCTTAAACCCTTTCCTCTTTCTTGCTCTCCATACGTTGTGCTTTCCATTACGTCGCGCAATGACTAGCCTAAAGGCAGTGGCCGCGTTCAGTTGAGATTTCCCTCTCCCTTCGTGAGCAGGTAGCCGGGTTTGCAGAGGCAGCGATTACACCACTTTTATGGCGCAAAAACGAGTGAGGAGGCCCGCGATACCGTCCTTCCCAACCCCCTATCATTGGCACCGCCCACCTTTCATTTCTAATGGTTGCCTGATGGTGCGGTTGTTCTGCTACTAACTCTCTCCACTTCGAATGGTGAGAGTGAGGTGATAAGGGAAAACAGCTGATACCAACAAGTAAGAACTCGTGCGACCACAGCCTCTTTTCGCCTTATGCACGTACAACCTCAGTTCGGCATGGGTTCTATATGGGACATTTGTGGCGGGTTTTTCTACTTTTTCCTTCACTGCTGGATCATTTGCTACCTTGTTATCACTATCTGAGCCGCCAACTCATTATATTTGAACGCGGGCTCAGCCTTTAAAACCGCCCAAAACTCATCAAACAAGCGATTATTTTCATGTTGTGGAATTCCTCGAGCAGACGCTGAATAATGCCTAATGAGGACTACAGCTTGGTAAACGGCGACTTGAACTGTGATTAATAAGAGTTACCGGTTTTATGACGCACGTATTATGCGCCCCTTCTCTCGTTAACTAAATGCACAATCAGGCTGTAGTTATAAGCTATACAATCAAACGCTGCAGCTGCCGTCAATAGTTTCTCCAACTCACAGATAGCCTTCTGATGCAGTCACATAGGCAAGCTATATATCTCAGCTGCGCTCACCTCCGAGAACGGTAGTCGTCATTTTCGAATAAAGGGTCCGTAGCTGCCCTCTCCATGCCTTGTTCTTCGCTTAAAAGTGCACGGAAACGGGGTCATAGGGAGTGATACCTGATGCCGTCTCCATTACGCAAGTGCGTGAGAAGTACAAAGCCTATTTGTTTCTAGTACTCTCGCTGTAGAAGGTGATGAAGTGGGGGTCGCGATTACGAAATTTAGTGTTCAGAATGACAAGATCAAGCGTGTATACACGTTGAAGGAATCGCTCACCATCTCTTTTCCGTGTCCGTAACCCAATCCGCAATGACGAGCGTAGCCGTCCTTCAACGCCCGGGTGTCCATTTAGGTCTCCAGCGGCAATAATATTATCTTCTGGGGGTAATTCAGGCGTCTTCTCATTTAGCAGAGCCCAGAAGCCGTGGTTGGATGCTTGAAGCATCCTGTTTGTGGAGCATACGCAAAGTAATATAGCCGTCGTTCTGCAGCGAAAACAACCTCCACTGAACGGTCGCTGAAAGAAACTGCACTAGTGCTCGAGTCATGGACCGCTGACATCACATGAGCCTTCAAACCTTGCAAAATCTTTGAGAATAGCCTGGTTCCCCCCCCCCACTTCCGATGCTGTTCTTGCATCAAAGACCCTCCTATACTATTTCACACTGGCTGGGCGAGCCTTGCGAGCGCGCGTCGGCTCCCACGGACACTGTAGCATTAATTCGCAATGCAATTGTTGTAGTTGAACATGTGTGTTGTGGCATGGGTATTAGTAGGTCAGCTCATCACGGAGGGTTGTCACCTTCGTTCAAATGTCGGCCATTAGCTGAGCTAAAAGCAGGTAGTTCGCAGTGACACCACGTAGGAAGCGGACAGGTCCACCAGTTATTCTACCCCTTGTCATCCGAAAGCATGTCGTGGATGCCATTACGCGAAATGATGCCAATTTCCTAAATTACAATGGACCACGATATCCAGCCTTCAATCTCCAAGCGATCCTCTACTCGTGCGACAGAAGATGGCTTTTTTTTCCTCATCTGTGAAACATTTCGAAGCAAAAATATCTCGAATATGGTGACGGTATTACATCGGAAACATCCGGAATTGTGAAGAATGTTAAGCTGTCTGCCAAGAGTATCTGATTTCAGAATGCCGCACATCTGATGTCAACTACTTCTGCTTTCAAGAAGACAAAAACGCCATAAGTTTGAGCTGATCACTACCCCAAAGGGCAACTGTAGTATTGACCAGTATGTTCTTTGATCAAACAGACAGCTCGCCTGGAAGTGCAGGTACGTTCTGGTAAGAGTAATCAAAAAGAGGCAATTCGACTTCGATTTGACGGGGGTGATTCACAAGATCGATTCGAGACCAGCTAGTAGTTTGCGACACCGCTATGAGCAAGCTATTTGGTGAACTTAACAATTGGACATAAATCACGTGCTTACATGGTTTGCTTAGATTGTATGTAACGTATGCAGAAACTTTAATGTAATGTATGCAGAAACTTTACGCGTTGCACTCTGATGAACGAGCGTAAGCCAGAGCTCTCGTATTTAGTCGCTGACCCTCCTGTATTATTGCCGGCGCATTTTCAAAAGAGATAATTGACGAAGTGATTACTACTGTGAAATTAGGGAGTGGCACATAATCATTTGCTTTACATTTCAATAAATTAGACCTCTGGCTAAGGTTGGTTTTTATAAGTTTCAGTCACATGTTCGCAGGAAGACCTACCTGAGTGCCCTGGGCTTTCGGAAGTCTTTTGATTCGGCCTCGTTCACGACTGCTTCCTGCCGGCTAACAAAAGCCGAACCCAGTTGTTTGTAAAACAGAGTGTTGAAGTTACAAATACCTGAAGACATTCGAAACTCTTTATCTGAAAAATTCTAAAACTTAATATGGATCTCGTCGGTTAATAAGGTTCGTATCTGCAGAAGATAGTATCTGCACGTCTAGAGAACTCTCAGGGCCGCCACATGCTAAACCAGTGGACAGCACGACAAAGCAATGCACGCACTCCAGTACTCAAACCAGCACTATATGACAAGAAGAGCTGACTTGCCACCTTCGGTTTCATCTGATTCGGGCAGAAGAACAGAGCATGGAAAATTTTATCGGACAGATGCAGTTTCCACTCGGAGCTACACGTTCTCAGTCCTCCATTTCAAGCGAGATCGCCGAGAATCCCGCGTTCCTTCTTCCTTATGGAAACCACTAGAAGAGCTACACTAGCTACGGTTTACAAAAAATTGGGTTTCAAAATCAGATTATTCTTCAGACGCTGCAGAGTTCTAGTTATTGCAAAACCTTGGTGACAAATGGGACTGGAAATAACAACATATAACAACAGAGCTCTGACAAGCGCCTTCATCTGTGGGCAACAACTGTAATTTGATTCAATTACAGGGCAGCAAGCAGTACTGCATTCAACTCCATCGCGTACAGCTTCATTTTGGATTTGGTTTTCCCTAAGCGCACTTTGTAATCTGCTCAGTTTTGCACTGAACTCTATATTCAGCATTGTTGGCATAATGGAAAGGAATGGAACCTTCAGGGTAATCATTTTGAGCTCACTTGTCAAGCATGGATTCGTTGAACCATCCGGATATTGAAAGCAGTCAGGATTTCAGAACTCCTTCTATGCAATAGTTATCGTGTTCTCGCTGATTGTTGCGGTGAGCAGCTGTTGCAGGCTCACCTATGAGTTCGTTATAGCTTTTACTGATGTGCAGTCCAAGGGTATTAGTTGCTTCTCGGTGATTGCGGACCTGGCTACGTCACAATCAACTGCTTTACTTATGTTTTTACTAGGGCTAAATCCGTTATGCAGCGTTTTCCTCACCATCTCTCTACGAACGACTATCGAAAAGGTGGGTCAGAACCCTACCCGTACACTCTTTGGAATCAATGAATTTCTTCACCGCCGCTTTCAGGAAGACGATGCGGTGTGTTCTTCTTGGGCTTGTTGTGTTTTCCATAATGGACGCAATTCTGATATACAACATAGGTGGATTAAAGAGAGCTTTCGAGGAAGATACCGTGGTGGATTATGCTAGCGAAGTTGTTTTATTTCAGGTGAGGGCAATATCAGGGCAATATCGCGGTTAAAGAGATACGAATTTTTCATTTGATCCAATGCATAAATTTTTCTATATTCCACAAACACTGTGGCACAGTTTTATTATTTATAGAGTGGTATGGTTATCTTCCAGGTGTCGAACTATATATTCCACGCGCTTCCTCTCGTTTCGTCTGTTTTCTACATAGCCGCATATTTATCTCTACGTTCAAAAAGAGAAGACGCTATCAGTGATAACACAATATCCCTTTTGGACAGCGCCGAGAAAATTACGTTAAATCAGGGAATATGGATTCTCATAATATACTTCGTGCGTTTTTTTGAATCGAACATTATATCCCATATGAGCTCGCTTTTCACGTTGTAATCTAAGGTGGAATGCTTGAGGGTGTGTACAGTATGAAGTACAGGGTACGTTCCTGTACAGTACTTTTGATAGGAAACCTAGAGCAGAGGGCCCTGAGTGAAGAGATCTAATATGCAGTTCCCTGTTGAAAATCAACGTAGCACTTAAAGGCAGTTGGCACGATAAATCGTTATACAGGTGTAGGATTTGTACAACTGGCTTAAC